GCATGATAATAACATATATAAAAAGTGAACAGAAGCTATGTTAGCTAAACATATCCATTTAAGCTTCATCATGATAAAATGATATTTAATGATTTGCAAAAAACATTGATATTTAAATTTAAGAACACAGTACTCTGTCAAGAATCAAATTTACTCTGCATTTGATATTCTACATATTATGTAATGAAATAAGTGTTATGTTTTTAACCCCTTACGACAGAAATTTTGCTGACAATTTTTATATTACTAGTGTTAGTAATTATTACAATGGATGATGCTTCAGGTGTCAAAAGTAAACATAAATTCAATTCTTAAAACATAATGAATAAAAAATTACAACTTATAAAAGCCAACAAAAAGTTTGCTGAGGGTCCCTTAACCGTGACGTCACAAGCCCAGTTTCGTTTCAGAGCGCAGGTCTTATCTATCTCGATGGTGACGCTCTGGTACTCAGTATCTTGAGAATGGACTGAAAAACATGGCCAGTTTGAAAGACAATCAATAATATTATGTTGAAAAGTCTTTTATAGGGAAAAAATTCATTTTACGAGAACATTGACGTCAAAATATATATATGTGTATGTTGCACGCTAATAATTAAGAATTCAATAAAATTATTTGTGGCGTATTTTAAAACAATAACATGGATTATATTTCGAAGGGGGAAAAAAAAAAGAAAAAATAAAGGCTTAAAACAACAAGCAAAGTACTTCGAGGTACACATTAAATTACTTAAATTAAGTAGTAGAGACATTAGGTTATTTTGATGCTCGAGGCATGAAAAATGAGCAATGCCCTCGCCGGGACTCGAAACCGGACCTATCGAGTACGTGCCGAGTGTGCTACCATTACACCACGAAGGCATACAGAAAGGAGGGAGAAAACGACCTTAAATACTCCCCCTTTTAAAGGGTCACTGGAGATTAGTGGACCCAGTCGCCAAATCCTGGTGGTGAAGCATCATCATCCACCACCTTTTTAGTTCGGTCACCACTGTAGAGAAATTAGGTTATTTTGAAGCAGGAGCACATCAAAAATGACCAATGCCCTTTCTGGGACTCGATCCTGGACCTCTCATATGCGTTAAGTGTACTATCGTTACACTACGAAGGTATACAGAAAGGCAGTAGAAAATATCTTATAAGTTTAACCAGCTAAAAATGAACAATGAGATGGGAAGAATATATCCTGCGAAAAGAATTACAAAGAGGGCAATTTCTAATTAAAAATGGTTCATCAAGGATAAGAAATCCGTGATCCTGAAGTATGTTATTTTCACTTTATCTTTTATTTATGACAATTACAATGCAAAAAAAAAAAAAAAAAAAAAAAAAAAAAATTATTCCTTAAAGTAATAGCGTGCAAAGGTATGGAATTTATTGTTGGAAAATGCTGCTCAATTTACAACCCAACGAAACACATATTCGCTATATAATTTTCGCATAGTGACTTTTGTTGAAAGCACAATACCGAAGAGTGCTGAAAAGCTGCAAAAGCATATAGTTGGTCATAAAAATAATTGCTTTCTACATGCCCTATCAGCTAGCATGAAGTTATTTCACTTTAACGCAAGGTTTCCAGCAATACAATCTTATTGACGGCGCCTTTTATATTGTATTATGAAGAGACAGTTAAAAATGAATATCGTATGTTTCACCCGAATGCAAACAAAGAGACGCGTTTCCTATGATGCACTGCAAACTTTGTTTCACTTAAAAACACACTATTGAATCCCAAGGTACAGTTTCCGTTACTTCACGCAGATTACCTTCTCTAAATGCGGAACCTTTGCTCAGCAAAGCCATTTAGTCCCCGGCTGTTGCTAAAATAATAAAAACTCGGGGAAAATGGGAAAATGCGACAGTACGCAGAACACTACCGGAGTCATAAACCCCTCGGGGTAAAAAAACGCCCTTTGCCACACAAAAGGAACTCCTTTTTTATTATTATTATTATTTCCATCCCCCCCAGCCCCCGAACTTAAAAAGATGGTAATAAAATCTAGAGGCAAGAGAAAAGGGCGGGGAAAGAATGGGGCAAATAATAAAAAAGAAATATGACTTTATTTCCTTCGAAATGTAGACTTTCGTACGAGAAAACCATTTTGAGAATCTGTGTAATGGATATAATATTATCTTTATAAAAGCTCACTTATCCTGTCTTGCAAAGGTTACCAATTGTTGGTTGGTACGCAAAAAGATGCCTTTTTAAAGAATTCGGAAAGCTACGGGCGCTTTTCCTTTGCCAGTGAAGCTGCGGGTTGCAGTTTTGTGTTGTTTATTTTTAAAAAACCATCAGGAGAGGCCTCAAAACTATTTGAAGAAAGAAATGAATGCAAATGACTCGCTTTTTATTCCATTTCGGATTTGTATGGAATGCTAGGACATTTTTATCCAAAAAGTGAGTTTCTGAAGCGAAAAATTTATATACATTCACTTTCGTAAGCGAAAGAACTGTTGTTTAAATGAGCAAAATGAATTTGATAAACAGAGAAGCCACATGCTGTAAACTCAAGAAATCTGTCTGCACTCTATATATTTTCTGTTTCCTCCATTGAGTTTCCTGTTTAACATCACTCTTCAAGATAAGTGTCTACCAGTACGAAACTATACTGAAATTAAGAAAAAGACTTTCCCGCATTACTTTTGAAAAAAAGGAATCTTATTCCTTATTGGAATATCGAATGAATCGAATAAGATTTGGAAAGGATATCGAGGAAAGATGGGCAAGAATAAAGGAAAGAAAATCTTAAGACTTTTTGGAAGCAATTATCTTCAACACAGATCAAAAGAAGAAATATTGTCTGTAAAAATTGTTTCAACTTTTAAGTCTTCCCGTCAAATGTTCTGACCACTGTATTTCCGATGATGCAGCATTTTGGAAAATGCAACACGAGACTGGCACTGCGTAGATTCGATAACCTGATATAATGTTAATATTTTAATTACTTTACTTTAAAAACCTCAGTTTGACGCCAGTAAGAATATTCATACAACATATTCACTTTACTAAGTTTATTCAATTAACACCTAGAAATAATCTATTAAATATTTAAATATCGTGACCCAATTAATCATTTTTCATGCATACAAAACTGCAATATAAAATGTTAATTAACTTTAGAGATACTTTTCTTTCCCGAAGCAAAAACGTTATTTTCGATACATATTAAAAGAACAATCAAGTATTTAGCAAATCGAAGAAGATATAAGAAATTATCTAAGGCTAAATAACAAACCAGTAATTGAAAGTAAAGTGAGAAAACAGAAGTCCCTTCTTGTCAATAAATTTGAAAAATAAATACTTATGAAATAATACTTTTTTATCCAAAATGTCAGAAAAATACTCATCTTATTTCCATTTTCCAGTTATTAGTTTTCAACTAAGTATGAACAACACTATTATGTGAGTCCTAATTAATAATGCAATAATCAATCTGAGGGAGTTATTATTAGATGAATTTCAAAATTTTGAAATTAGAATTTCATCTATTGTATTTCAAAGTACTTTCTCACAAAAGAGGAACAAAATTCTCTTTTCAACAATTGATTTTTTATAACTACACAGATATACAATTCTGTGTAGTTATAAAAAATCATACCTCCCAAATTAATTATAATTATCATACCTCCCAAATTAATTATTCACTAAAAGTATACATCATTAAAAATAAAGAAAACATAGTTAAAGCTATAATGACAAATAAAAGAAGTCATATGGTATGCGGTCAGTTTTACACAGTTAGAAGGATTTAAGCAATTAGAAGCGTATTTAAATGTTAAATAAAATTATTTGTTATCGCTGGTTAATTGCAGAGAAGCTAGAAAGACAGGTTAAAACATTTTGAAAAGCATTATTAACAACATAATTTAAAAAAAAGCAAATTTTTCATTGCCTATTTCAGAAATACCTAGCATATTCTGTACAAATGTTTATAATTTAAAGTTGGTGAGAAAGAAAATATTTATAAATTTGGTAACTACATCTGCAAACATATGTACTGTCAAGTACGGATACTATTATCAACTGACACGGACTCGGTCAAAACAGGTAACTTTTTAAGTTTATAATTTCTTATTTCTATTAATATACAAAACTGAAGAATATTTGAAGAAAGATTCTCTCAAAGCACTTTTTCAACTTTTAAGTAGGAGACCTTGTCAATAAATTAATTTGTTTACGCCTGCTCAAAAGTAAAAACTTGTCACCGTATTCCTCCCCTATAACTGTAAAATGCCGAATGAAAATTTTTTAAAGAAATTGAAAATTGTTGTCTGCCCTAGCTATGTTATTGTTAAGTGCTTCCTTTAGTAACATTTAACTGCTAAAAATGCTTTTAAAAGCTCCCTTTTTCTACCATTTAGAGAAGGTTTCTAACTGGTACTTCTCCTTTCACTTCAAACTTAAAAGTCATTTAAGATATAAACGTTATGCTATATAATTTTGCCTTTATACCATTGTTTCATAAAGACTAAAACGGATGACTGTTTTGCAATTGATGCCTTTATGCATAACTTCGGTTAATGCCATTATATAGCATAATGTGCGTAACTGATTTATGGGCAGAACTAGGTACTGACTTCTATTTAAACGATGCACAGAATTTAGCTTTAAGTGGACTTTCTGAAAGAAGCAATGAATTTAGCACTTTCAGTACTTATTAGAGCCAGTTCAAATGGTACGTCAATGGGAAGTCACAAATAAGGCAACTATAAAACAGATTTCTGGAATAGCATTTGTCATAGAGAAAGGAGAATGTTGATACGGGGAGAACCATTTGAATCAACTCTAATCAACAAACATAATTAGATTGTATACATACATATCATTTAGGCAGCAAAGAACAGAGGTGAAGGGACAGATTGAGGAGAAAATGAGTAGTGATTGTGTAGTTGTTACATAAAGAGTGGTGCGGGAATTGTGATGTTAGACAGCAAGCTGAGCAGAAGCTTCCGTGTTAGATTCGACGCTTCATTCACACAAAAGATTTGTCGTCTTACCGGCACTGGATCGGCCTTTGTTCCTTGGTTTCCCACTGGAGTTCCCACTGGAATTCTGCATGGAAGATGCTGACTTGACTGCCACCGCACCATACAAGGAACTGTGGAACGGGTATGACGTTCCGGAATAGTCCGTCGAGCCGCCTGCCGAAGGCGGACCCGTCGCGTATGGGGGATAGGTGGGCATGTGGTGGTGGTGGTGATGGTGATGGTGGGATGTCTGATGGTGGTGGGAAGGCTGATGGTGGTGATTAACGGGTACGAGAGCAGAGGAAAAGGCTGCACTACCTTCTCTCGGCTTTCCACTGCTGGACGAACCACAGTTGCTGAGGGCCGAGCCGAGGGAGGTGATCATATTGGGCGTGTGGTGTACCTTGATGTCTTCTCCACTGCTTGAAGTTACCAGTCCGGACGTTGAACCACCGTAGTCGCCGCTTCCGCTACCCCCGCCGCCGGTACCATGTCCACCGGTGCTGCCCGTCACCGTGTCTGGCGTCACGTCCTTCGGCGGCGTTGGCGGGAAGCTGAAGAGGTGAGGACTAGAATGGGGTGGTAAGGAACCGGAATGGGGCGGTGCGTGGACCCCCAACGGCCCCGATGACCCGCTCGGGTGGTGCGGGGGTTTCCCAGCGGCTGAGAAAGGAGAGCACCAGGCTGAACCGTGGGCAGGATGAGGCACCATTGGCTTGGCACCTTCGGAAATCCACGGGTGGAGAGGTGTGTGAAAATGCGGCCTGCACATCTGGCTGCTGGGCATACGGGCTAAAAAACAAGAAAAAATTGAATCAATTTCAACAGTTCGTAAATATCTCTTTAAATTACATTTTAGAAGACAAACTTGTCATCAATAATTCCAAAGAAACTGGCTGAAAATTAGAAATGATTGTCGAAATTATGAAAAATATATCAAACTGTCGCAAATTACATATAACTTTCTTCTATGTTATATAATACATTCACTGAATTTTAAGATATAATTCTCAGTCATTAGAAAAATGTTAAATTTACGAGTCAAGTTAAGGGAAGTTAAAGTTGGAAAATTTTTATCTTCCGCTTGCGCCCAGAATTTTAACAAATTAAAAAATTGCTTGCAAAACAGAATTTTTATTAAAAATTTTAAACTGGAGATTTATATTCCTCTTTTTTTAATACTGTCTACATACAAAGGTTTAAAATGAAAATCCGGAAATAATAGAATGTTTAAAATGAAACTTTGATGAAGCCTAACTTTACGGTAGTTTTTATAAATTGATTGGCAGCTATAATTGTATATTTGAAAGGAATTTTCTTGTTTCTTACAACAAGACTTCATAACGTAGTAGAAAAACTCATTCGACTAGCAGCTGGGAGGTCCGGAGTTCGAATCCCGGCTAGGGAAAATATTTATGCCATTTTAAAATATGAATTCTCGTTTAAAATGTGTAATTCCTTCATTTCTTTTCCATGAACAAATTGTGAGTCTGTGTAATATATGTTACAAAATAAACAAGTAACTAAAATTCTTAAAACTAACGACCGTCGTAAAAGATTCGCAACTGTTAAAGAAATAAAAGTAATTTGTCATTATTGTAGGGTTTATATTTATTTTAACTAACATTTATTTTAAGTTTAAGCTATCTTTCCTGTGAAGCCTTTACTTTCCTTTAGAATTCCCAATGCCAGAGCATGTAAATTGTAGTAGAACGCGCAGTATATTCAAATTTTAGCAGAAGTAAGTTGAGTTTAAATAGAAGGGAAACGAGTTTGTAAGTGTGCTTCTTGAATCGCGAACGTGAAGGTTGTTAGGTAGAAATTTAAGAACCGCGCGTTTTGGCCTGTGTGCCTATCTCGGCAGTTCGTTGAGAATCTTTTAACTGCTTAATCAGTAAGCTTGCTGAATCTCAACTGTATTTTAGAACGTGGTTAAATTAGTTACGATTTTAGAGACTCGCAGGGAGTGATCTAGTTGTTTATTCATTCTGTCATTTATTTTTAGTATCACATTTCTGTTTTGTTATACTGCCGGGTCGGCGTAGTTTGTGAGCGTCAAGTGAACGCAGCTGTTATTTCTAAAAGTGGAATAAAAAGGGCTTTAAACCCCTTCTTACGTGTTTGTGTAAATTTACAGTTCATAGCAGTCACTAGCACAGTTACTGACAAGTTGGGGGCCACACAATACTACATTATAATTAAACAAAGTCATGTAGCCTTATTCTATGGCCATAACTATTTCACGAAGCAATCTTCCAATTTTATAAACTGAGTTGCTTATATAAGTATTGTTAAAATGCTTCAAGTTAAACTAAAAATATCCGCAACTAAAATATATATGTTTAATTGTTGTTTAAATAATACAAAAGATCGCTCCAAAATACCCTGGTCCCGAAAGGTTTCATATGTACGCATACGGATCAGCTATCAGCAACAGTAGTGCAGCTAGATTTTACTCCCTCCCCGTCAAAGAACATTTCCCTATTGCCAAATCAGTGACAAACCTTCGACAGGGAGGCTGCAATACAAGTAATCGTCAGAACAGATCCCTCTGAAGAGCAATCTGTAGTCCTGTGCCAGCAGGGCTGGACACCCGGAAAATCGGGTGGTATCATCCGGTACCCGCAACTGTAGCTCAATGCGAGGAAAAATTCAAACTACAGAAGACAACAGATATTTATGTACAGTGGGTCCCAGGGCACTACGACAGCATAGGAAATGAACAGGCTGACAGACTCGCAAAGGAAGGATACTCTGTGCCTCAGACAACACACTCTCGAACATACAGAAAGATTCGCAGCAAAATTGCATTGACAGTCAAGAAGACCGTGGACGACGCGTGGAGGGCAGCTGCTGTTGGTAAAAGATAAGAAACGATAAAAACAAGATCGGTTCCTAAGAATCTGCTCCGAGACGTCACTGTGACCATTTTCAGACTGATCACAGGCTTTGACTACCTCCAGAGTCATTTCTATAAAATACGAATTGTGAGCTTCCCCAAATGCCACCTATGGAACTCAAGAGAAGGGAATGCTGATCATCTCCTCATCTGCAAAGCTCTGGAGGTAGAAACTCAAGAAGACACAATGGAAGAATGGGCACAGCTATACTGGATGACACATTGTCAAATGGCTGACCGGCCAAAAATGGGCTGTACTGAAGAAGAAAAAGAACACAAATGCCAAAGAAAACAAATCAATAAAATTACTAAAAATAATAATTATTGAATTAACTGAAAGAAATTATAAAAGTTAAAACAGAACTTAAAGAAATTATAAAAAACATGAAATTTCAGATGAATGATTTTATTTATCCTCAATAGTTGCATTTTTATCAGATCGGCACTTTTGTATCTTGCGCTTTTTACTACACAGAAGTAAAGAAATACACTTTGCAGTACACCGATATCATTTATTCACTATCACATATAAATATTTTTCGATGTCTCAGATACTCGAGAATCCAGTAACCAGTTACATTGCTAAGACGACTTTCTGACTTTAACATTCATATTACTACTTTCAAAGAGATTTTTCAATAATGGATTGAAGCTTCAAATTGTAGGATGGCCGTGAGGTTTTCATCCGTGTAGAAAAGAGTACTCGCAGAAGAAGTTCCCAACTGCTTTGAACAACCAAGTACTGTACTTAGACCTTAAGTGACTGGATGATGACAGGGCGCTTAAAGAGTGCATAACGCGCTACTTTTTTTTTCATCTTTATTCACAGGTGCTGGAAAAAAATGAAGGGTAAAGAATAATTTCTTTTTATTTTGAGATGTTTTATCCTAAATTATCTAAGATTATAAGACGCGTGCCGAGGAAAGCAATTCCAAACCGTTCTTTAAAGATAGTTATTTTTATGAAATTTTTTTGTTGTCCTTTGACTCGTGATAAAGATTTAACATTTGCAAAAGAAAAAAGAAATGAAAGTAGCAATAGATTTTTGAAAGATAAAACACGTTCTCTACAGGACTGCAGAAAAATCTATTGCAATGTTTTTAATCTTTAAAATTTTCTTTATTTCTAAATAATGATAGAATTCTCAAAATACATTAAAAACTTAAATAAAGTTAATATCCTAAATTGTGTGTTATATTAGGGTATTAAATAAAGTTACTATCCTAATATAGCAAACTAAAATCTTAAAGTTAATTAGGATTTCAAGCAGGCCGATTTCTGGATTTTACACGCATTTTATTATATGGTTGTAATGGTGATGATCTTACAGTCACCGTACAGATAAAATCTAACTTGAGAAATACAGAAATGATGCATTTTAGAAGAATAAAACGTAGGTCGCAAAATGTAGCTCACGTGAACAGAATTCTATTTCGTCTTCTGCAATGACAACTTTTGTTCAAAATCGTAAGAACCGTTTCCGATCTGTAATTGCCAATTAAACTTACTAGATGAGATGACAGAGTTTTCGTTATAATAAAATAGAATAGGAGGTATTTTTCATCTGCTGTTGTGAAACTGTCATCTAAACTGATCTAGCAATCTATTGGATCAATCAGAGATATAAAATGCCTCGTTCTTCCTCATAAATAGACATTTAACATTGCTATTCATATGCATTCTAATAAACTGAATGAATAATGTACAGCACTTGGAAAAAAATTCAAAAATTCTCAGGCAATTATTGAACACTTCTAAACTTTTACATATTTTATAAGGTATTTCTTCCGCCTTCTTAGCACACCTCCTTGGTGTAGTGATCAGCACGCTCGGCGCGTATTCGAGAGGTCCGTGGTTCGAGTTCCGGGGAGGGCACTGCTTATTTTTCACCTCTCCTGCTTCGAAATAACCTAATGTCTCTACAGTGGCGCCCGAACTTAAAGGTGATGAATGATGATTCTTCACCACCAGGATTTGGCGGTTGGGCCCCCTAAAACCTCAATCGCCCTTCAAAAGGGGGAGTATATAAGGTGTTTCTCCCGCTTTCTTAGCATGCCTTCGTTGTGTAGCGGTTAGCACGCTCGGCACGTATTCGAGACGTGTATGGCTCGAGTCCCGGCCAGAGCATTGCTCATTTTTCATCTCTCTTGCTTAGAAATAACCTGATGTCTCTAGAGTTTAGCCATAAATATCTTTGAATTTTGCAATTTTGATCTTGTGCCTTAATTTTAAATTAATAACTTGGCAACAATTTTATTACAAACCGTATAATGTGAAAAACTGGCAGGTTCTCACACGAAATTTTCGGGAAGGCTAAAAAGAAAAATAAATAAACAAACAGAAAATAGGAGATTCGGCGATTTTATAAGGAGATCGGGAAATACTGGGAGTCTCCCCGTCAAACCGGGAGATTTACAAGATATGAAATTACTTCAATTATAATTCTGGCTACAGTACTTTACTTTGCGCCAGAGCGGAAGTTTTGGTCAATTAAAATGCAATTTCAAGCAAATCAAATTTTCAGCAAAGAAGCTAAGGAATTCTTTGAAGATTGCTTTTATGCATGAATGAAATATACGCTGCAGATTTTTTACATTTAATTTTATGGGCTTATAAAAATTGTTCAAATAATGTAAATGGCAAGCATGAAAACCGGAATTATCAACAAAAAAATGTGACAATTCCACTTAGCTTCCTTCTAATATGAAATACCATATCGCCTCAGGTATTTCATCTGTTAAATCTGTTCTTCCATACTTGAACTATTTTATCAGCGACTTTACCATAAAATATTGTTTTCTCAAATTTTGGATGTTCAAAGGACAAAATAGAACGCCTGACGTTCAAGATGGCTGAATTTTCTTTTTCTGACCAATTTAACAGCAAAAATATC